ATTTTTACACAAAGAATTGTATAGATGGGCTAAAACAGCAGAACCCCAGCTATACTTTCTTGTTTTTCCAAAGTTCCTAAGAAAACTTAAATACATAAAACTTAAACTATTCCATGTACTTTCGGGAAATAACAAGCTTCCAAGTAGTATCATCATATAATTTCTAGCTTTTATTACTCTTACTAGCTCGGATGAATTTTCATTCAACTCAAGAGTCGCATAATGTTTTTTTGAGTTCAGTTAGTAATATGCCTTGGCCTCTAGCACCACTACCTTCTATCATATCTTTTCCCAAAAATTCATCGCATAGAGAATTAGGTTGTTGAACTGACCCATTAATCGCCTTACCATTGATAGGGAGACCCAATAACATGTACACGTCCTCTAGTGTGACGGCACATTCACCTATTTGTAGATGAAATATGTGTGTCTCGGGTCTCCACCTTTCTAACATTGCAAGTATAAACTTGGAATCAATCGTCCAGTTTGAGATTTTTATAAAATTTCCAAAACCTGCATATTCTAGATAGGGCACGATCAATGGGTCAGGAGCAATGTAGTTGTGTGAGCGAATTCTAAATCTTTTAGTATCCTAAATTCAAAATGTAAAAAGTGTAACAGTCCATAAGATGACTAAATCAATAATAATTTTATAAAAAATATATTAATATACAAGAATATTTGAGAATTTATAAAAACTTACAAACGCCACAATTTTTTCCCTTATGCCTCTGTGAGAATCGCCCATCGTGAGAAGAGCCATATTTGAAATTGTATAAGACAATGAAAAAGTTTGTATCAAAGAGTGAGATGATTGTTGATGCAAAACAAGTATATTAGGCGTTGTATTTATAGGAGAAATTGTATGAGAGAGTGAATAAATGAGGTGGTTGGTGGTTGCATGCATGCATGATACATGCCACTCATATGCCAAGTCAAATGGCGCCTACATGCAATTTAGAGAGCATGCGCCATTAAACTTGGCGTGAGACAGGCCTAGTTGTAGCATAGGTGGCAGGCTAGGTGGCATGTTAGGTGAAAGGTTAGGGGCAGGCTAGGCGCGGGCTTTTCTGCATTCATGTAAGATGATTAGACATGTAGGGAGGCACCATTTGACTTGGCGAGTGAGTACAAAATTGAAAGGTATCGCCATCTCAATTGGCGAATTAGTGGTGGCTTGCTTTTGTATTGTTCAAATTCAATTCAGCCTATTTAATCCTACATGTATCTAAAGGCCTCTAACTCAACCACTCAAACATTCAAACATTCAAACAATCAGACACTCAAACACTCAAACCTTCAAACATTCAAAGACAATGGCTTCTACATCACAATATGTTATCAGTGCACATTTCAACAGTGAGACATACATTTGTCCCACCTCTGGGTTTTTGTTTAGACACTGAGAACATCCGATTTTGTTTAAACAGGAAAGCCAATTTCTTGTATTTTAAAAAATGATTGGAGGTCAAACTTGGACGAAGTCCTGTGACACAAATCTTCTATCAAAATCCAGTTTTTTTATGAGAACCAAATAATATATTATAAGGTGGAGGTTCAAGATGACGAGGACCTTCAGAATATGTTTTCCAGTCATGAGTATTCTGGGTACGACTCGATTGAGTTGTACATTGTGTTGCGGGAGCCTCAGCTGTCACGGCCAACTCAATCACAAGATGTTGATCCTCTCGAAGACGAACAAGCAAAAGTAGATGTTGTTGACGAAGAAGAGGAAGATGACGAGTTAGAGTTTGACGACATGGTCAACGATGATTTTGAAGATGATGGGATACGTGTAATACCTCCGAATGAGATCTACACACCACCTCCACACATGACAAACTTCAACATGGGCGGAGATGAACTGTCACTTGATGTTTTTTTCAATCCGTATATGCAGTTGGATGAAAATTTAAAAGAGAAAGACAAATTTCGTAATTGAGAAGATTGTATCCGAGCCATAAAAAAGTTTCACATGCTAAACTCTGTCGATTTTAAGGTAGATCGGGTAAATCTGGAAAGGTACAAGCTCAGGTGTGTTCATCCAGATTGTATGTTCAGGCTCACTGCATCATACAGGTTAAGAGGTGATTGTTGGGTGATAGGTTATATGTCCACCCACACGTGCATCAATTCTACTTAATCACAAGATCATCGTAAACTAAATTATGATCTCATCTGTCAAGAAATCCTACCTCTCGTTAGCAATGATCCGTCATTGAAGCTGAAAACCATAATCTTTCACATCACTACGATATACAACTATACTTCATCATACCGAAAGGCGTGATTAGCAAAGACCAAGACGATTGAAAAGGTATATGGAAACTGGGAGGAGTCATACAAAGAACTTCTGCGCTACCTGCATGCACTTCAGGCGTATTCTCCGGGAACTGTTTATATTATGGAAACATTGTTGGCGTACGCCCTAGATGGTATTCATGTCACCAGAAACAAAATATTTAGTCGATTGTTCTGGGCTTTTCAAACTTGCATCACAGCGTTTGTGTCATGCAAATCTATTATTCAAATTGATGGAACGTGGTTGTATGAGAAATACAAGGGCACGCTACTGATGGCAATTGCACAAGATGGCAATAACAATATTTTCCCAATTTCCTTTGCTCTAGTCGAGGGAGAGACTGGTGGTGCTTAGAGTTTCTTTCTCAGGAATCTCCAAACACACGTGGCTCCTCAACCTGATCTCTGTTTGATCTCCGATAGACATGCATCTATTGAGAGTGCATACAATAATCCTGCAAACGGTTGGCATGACCCTCCTTCTACGCATGTCTACTGCATTAGACATATTGTACAAAATTTTATGAGGGAGATCAAAGACAAGTCTCTTAGCAAAACAATTATGAACGCGGGGTATGCATTAACACAACCTACGTTCAAACAATATCGCAACGAGATCAGATTGTCAAATTTGGACGCAGGTAGGTGGATCGATAATATTCCGGTGGAGAAATGGACAAGGTCATACGACAATGGACAACGATGGGGCCACATGACAAAAAATCTTATTGAATCCATGAACGGTGTATTCAAAGGCATACAAAATCCCCCAATAACCGCTTTGGTTAAATCAACATATTTTAGGATGGCTTCGTTGTTTGCCAAAAGAGGTGAAATGTGGAATGCGGTCTTATAATCGGGACAACTATGGAGTGAAAGCTGCATGAAGTATATTAAGGCAGAAAATGTCAAAGCCAACACCCATTTGGTTATAAGTTTCGACCGACACAGCCATAACTTAATTGTCAAAGAGACAATCAACCACAACGAGGAGCTGCCAAGACAAGAGTATAGGGTTATACTTCCACCTCGTTGGTGCGATTGTGGCAAGTTTCAAGTCTTTTGTATGCCTTGCTCTCATGTGATTGTGGCATGTTCGTATACTCATCAAGACGCATTACAACTTCTATCTCCCATTTACAAGTCTGAAACCTTGCTCGACGTATACAACAATGGCTTCCCATTAGTAGCGAAACCTGATTATCAGCCTGCATACGACAGAGAAATAGTATGGCACAACGATCAAATGCGAATGAATAAAAATGGTCGTCCCAAAAGCAAGCGTATCACAATTGAAATAGACTCCCTTGACAAGCTAGAAAGAAAGTGTGGTTTATGTCGTTCGGTCGTACACAATCGAAAAAATTGTCCTATTCGGGCTACAAGCTCGACAACATAAAAATTGTATGCAAACCACCTGCACTTTTTTTAAGTTCTAAACATTACTGTTTTTCATTAACAGCATTTGTTACAACAAACCATATGCAAACACAAATAAAAACACGATAAAACGTCTAAGAAATTACAACCGTCAAAACAATTTCATTTGAGTCATGCATCATCACCATTACGTCTCCGTCTGTTCTGACTTCCTCCAATCAAAAATTAGGTCTTCCAATTGCAAGTGAGGTGGTTGCTCTTCTTCTCAGGATCCTTCTAATTTGTTCTCCAGCCTTGATGTCTCCCTCTAGCCATCACATCAACTCTCTCTTAAGACGCTCCATGGAGTGAATGTGCCAAAATTTCATTTTCATCGGAGGTTTGGTGGCCGAGAAAATAACGTATCCATCTTTGGTGAAAATCACGGGAGATGTCATGACGCAAATAACAGAGAAAAAAATAAGAAGACAGTGCAAGAAAGTGTGAATAAATGAGTGATTTATTTATAGAAAACACAATTATACGTAGTAGCCAAGTGAGACGATGCCTCCTCTCCTTTTTATAGTGCATGCGCCATCTCACTTGGCTAAATCAAAGTGCATGTGCGCCAAGTGAGATGACGTTTAGGGCAAAAAGGTGACTGCACGCACCATCTCACTTGGTTTCTCCATTGTGAGATTTTCTAAAACATGGTTATTTACGTAATTTTCTCTGAAATATGGTTATTTGTATTTTTTTTTTTTTAATATTTAATTATTGCTAAAAAAATTTTAATTTAACAGGGCAAATATAATTTTTTTTGAAAGGTAAATAGTATATATATTAAATAAAGAAAATCGAGATACAAAACAAAAATACACAAAGAAAAGAAGTAGGTGAAAATGATAACATAACGAGTTAAGCAATTTATTTAAAGAGTTGAGCTTGATTTGTCACCCCGCTAACAAGGCAGTGGTAGGTGATAATATGCATACTTTGATCTAAAAATTAATTAGTAATGCAAAACAAAACTAATTGATTCAGAAACAGTAATAATTTTCAACTTCGAAAGATTAAAAAAATGTTTCTGTAAGAAAAAAATATACTTGGAAATTAAGAATCATATAATATAATAATTTCTTCTCAGGCACCTCTGTAGTTGCAGGACCCAAACACGAGAGTAGAATGTTACAAGAACCCATGTATTGTTGGGCTATAAAAAGGGAGTGTTGCAGAGGTATTTTCTCAGGCAAACACAACACAAATCCCATAGCCTCACCTAAGCAACTTCACTCTTGTTCATAGAATTTGTTTTGTTATATCAATAACAAGCTGCAACCATGTTGGTTGAACTCGCAGTTGCTTTATTGGTGATAGCTCTCTTTATACACTTGCGTCCAACACCCACTGCTAAATCTAAGGCACTTCGCCACCTTCCTAATCCACCAAGTCCTAAACCTCGTCTTCCTTTCATTGGTCATCTTCACCTTTTGGATAACCCTCTTCTTCACCACTCTCTCATTCGTCTAGGACAACGTTATGGCCCTTTGTACTCTCTTTACTTTGGCTCCATGCCTACTGTTGTTGCCTCCACTCCTGATCTCTTTAAACTCTTCCTTCAAACGCATGAAGTGTCTTCCTTCAACACAAGGTTCCAAACCTCTGCTATCAGACGGTTAACCTATGATAACTCCGTTGCTATGGTTCCCTTTGGACCTTACTGGAAGTTCATTAGAAAGCTTATCATGAACGATCTCCTTAACGCCACCACCATCAACAAGTTGAGACCCTTGAGGACTAGAGAAATCCGCAAGTTTCTTAAGGTTATGGCTCAGAGCGCTGAAACTCAAGAGCCACTTAATGTCACTGAGGAGCTTCTCAAGTGGACAAACAACACAATCTCTACAATGATGTTGGGTGAGGCTGAAGAGGTCAGAGATATTGCTCGTGATGTTCTTAAGATCTTTGGTGAATACAGTCTCACCGACTTCATTTGGCCTTTGAAGATGTTTAAGCTTGGGAACTATGAGAAGAGAATTGATAACATTTTCAATAAATATGATCCTATCATTGAAAAAGTTATCAAGAAACGACAAGAGATTGTCAACAAAAGAAAAGAGAGAAATGGAGAAATCGGCGAAGGTGAGCAAAGTGTAGTTTTTCTTGATACTTTGCTTGAATATGCTCAAGATGAGACAATGGAGATCAAAATTACAAAGGATCAAATCAAGGGTCTTATTGTGGTGAGTTTCTTTCTCTTCTAGTTGCTTTGTTTTTATATATTAGATAATAATATAAGATTGTGTTTCTCTGAATTATATGCAGGATTTCTTCTCTGCTGGGACAGACTCCACTGCTGTGTCAACAGAATGGACTTTGGCAGAGCTCATCAACAATCCGAGGGTGTTGAAGAAAGCTCGAGAGGAGATTGACTCTGTTGTAGGAAAAGATAGACTCGTTGACGAGTCAGATGTTCAGGATCTTCCTTACATAAGAGCAATGGTGAAAGAGGCATTCCGCATGCACCCACCACTACCTGTAGTAAAGAGAAAATGTACTGAAGAATGTGAGATCAATGGATATGTGATACCTGAGGGAGCATTGATACTTTTCAATGTATGGGCAGTGGGAAGAGACCCTAAGTATTGGAAAAAACCATTAGAGTTCCGTCCAGAGAGGTTCTTAGAGAATGGTGTTGGTGAAGGTGAAGCAGCATCAGTTGATCTGAGGGGTCAGAATTTCCAACTTTTACCATTTGGGTCTGGAAGGAGGATGTGTCCTGGAGTCAATTTGGCTACTGCTGGAATGGCAACACTGCTTGCATCTATTATACAATGCTTTGATCTACAGGTGGCAGCTCCAGATGGGAGAATATTGAAAGGTGATGATGCTAAAGTTAGCATGAAAGAGAGAGCTGGTCTCACGGTTCCAAGAGCACATAATCTCGTATGTGTTCCCCTTGCAAGAGATGTTGCAGCTAAATTGCTTTCGTCTTGAAGCATATAAATGATGCTAAGGAGTCATGGGTGATGTTTTTATGTTGTATAATTATTTTCAATAAAATATGAATGATAACAATAAACCGCCACACATGGGATATACATACATATATATGATATATCTCAACTAATATCCTTTTGTATTATAGACTTTTCATCGATGCCATGCATTAGTTGAGAAACAATGAAATAATTGGAATATTTTGAAGCAGAAAATTTTAGCAAATCTGTGTAATTTAAATAGACAATCAACAAAATCAATTTTAGAGCAAAATAAAATTATAGAAAATTGAAATAATAAACACCAAATTTTTAGGTAATTGCTAATTCCAACCTAAGTGGTGAAAAAGCAACATATAAATATCAAAATTACCTATTTAATTATGGAAATACATCTCTAGACGCACTCCGTACTTCGCTCAGACATGCACGAACTAAGTCTCGCCACATATTTTTTATGAAATTTATTTCAGATATGCATCTCCAGAACAACTCCATGTACACCTCATGCATTCCTAAGTGAAGAGCCTTCTTTTGACATAAATTATTTTGTAGATGCATCCGTATTCATATCAAAATAATTCGAAGATGCATATCCGCAATTACATCAAACATTAATTTCTTACTTTGATTTAAAGATGTTCTAAAGAATTTGACCATATATAAATTTACTTTGTATAAATTAAACCACACAGTACTTTCAGAATAATATGAAAGTGATATATATAAGCCGATAAATCTAGAGTACACAATGAAATCAAAATAAAATCGAAAAATAATGCTCATAATACAATTACTATATACAATTATGTATGACAAACTCAGGTCCCCTATTTCTACGCTGCCTCTTGTACTATAATGCCTTATGTTCCTCCCCATCATGGCATCTAGAATGTTCGTCACCTCAAAGCCGTCTGAAAAGAGTCCTCTATCTATATTTGTCTCCCCAATCATTATGACATGACAAAATCTAGGAAACACACCACAACATGATCTGCTCTAGCATTCTTCTCCTATAGTATCTCCTAATGAGCTGACCTAGATGGATCTCCCAGAGCACTAAATATCAAATAAGGACGTGACACCCTAAAATACCATCGGATGTAGTCGTGTATAATACTTCAGTCCCTTGGAGCTATGGTACTCCATGCCTGATATAATATTAGATGATAAAGATAATTTCCAAGCATGGTATTCATATCTATACGTGTCATAACATAAGAAACAAACTAAGAAGGGTCTTTAGGAATAAACTGCATGTAGCCAAACTTCCGTATGATGCACTCAAGAAGATGAGGATACATCAGAAATGAATCGCAAGCCAACCATTCAGAGTATAAGGCAATATCCTTTAAGGGACGTGTCTCACGGTGATCAACGTACATATGAAAGTGTATATCCTCTACTACTATGCGGTCAGAAATGCTATATGACTTTGTCGCTTGATTCCTTCTGAGCGGGACGAACGCAGAAGCATGTGGCATATCCTTAGTGTTGCACTCACAAATTTTCCCTCTCTGTTCCCAAGATATTTCTCAAGGGTTCTCCAAGACTTGATCAGACAAGCTCACCTCATAAACACTAAAGCCACAAATTAGGGTTTTGACTGAAGTTGACTGATCATTGACTTTTGACCTAATACATAATATAATGGTTTGAAACATAATCTCAAGGGCTCAAACAAGTCATGTTGACCTAATTTCATGAATCAAATCATTTCTCAAGATCAAAAGATTGATAGTTGAATTTTTTATCAACTGATGAAAAGTCAACTAATACACAAAAAGTTAAACTTTGACTTTTTGGTCAACATTACATTCCAAAGATCAAAATTCATCAAGACATTCAAAAATATCAAACTTGATCATCAAGAATTAAGAAAGTCATTAAAATCCTGCAAAAGTCAAGGTTTTCAATACTTAGAAATTTTCTAAGTGCTTTTATACTTGATAATTTTATCACTTCATGATATTTTTTCAACAAGGTGCAAGATGATTCAAAGAAAACTTTCAACATGAAAGTTTTAGATCTTAATGAATTCTACAACTTTGTATTAGAGGGTTAATGTCCAAAAATACTTGGATTTTAAGATATAGGCTCATGAAGTCATGACATTTTTGTATAAACACTTAGAGAAATTTTCAACAGGTTTTGGTCAGTTTTTTATCTAACTTTTTGACCAATTTTCATCAAGTTCCAATTTGATTTAGTCAAAGTGGTCAACGTGAAAGTTGTAGACAATTTTTCAAGCTTTCTAAAACATCCAAGAGCATGAATTTGTTATAATTGAGCTAGGAGATTCAAAGGCATGAAGTTGGGCATCCATTCTTGAATTATAAATCATTTTGGTGAAGAACACATAATCCAATCAACATGCTATGCTGCATAATCTTGTTTTGCAGGCCTTATAACTTGCAAGTCTCACCATAATTTAATGTTTACACAAACCTTTGAGCTATGGTCCATTTGATTTAAGCATTGTCCAATGATCTTTCCATTTCTGGCACAAAGTTAACATTGATATTCTTGCAAAGTAGCTTTAATCACGAAGTCAGCTCTTCTTGAGCGTCTAACTTGTTCTTTCTACACACACTCAGCACATAAAATCAGATAAGCAGGCTTAAAGTATCCAACAACTCTATGAAGCAAAGTACAAAGCATTGGAACTATGATCTTCAAGCTTTCTTCATTTACAATCCAACCTAGCCACAACATGTGATCTTGAAAATATGATCAACCTTTGTCTTAAGAACTCTTGCCTATAAATAGAGAGAGATCATTTGCAAGATAAAGGAGATGAAAAAGCCCTCAAAACCCCTTTACTCTAAAAAAAACCAGAATTGTCCACAACTCCATTTTTTATCTTTAAAGTTCAAATCTTTGAACCTCTCACGCCTTACAAGTTTTGCCCAAACAAACCATCCAAATACTTCACATACATCATATAAAAGTTGTTCAAACACAAGAACAACTCCTATAACATCATTATCACCATCTTCCAAACTCAAAAGACCGTATCTTGCAGTTTGACTTGGTTAGAGTGATTCATCAACTTTCAGCACCAAAGTGAGGATTGTCATAGCTTTAAGAAGGTCCAAAGGAGCTCGAAAATCACCACTTTGCACCCGGAAACATCAGTACGTGTTCTAAAGTTTTTGCTTCAAGAGGTAAATTTTCTCAAACTGTAATATATTTATCCATACATAATTTGCTTTTGCTTTCAAAAGGATACAACATGACAGATCAAAGAAAAAACTTAGTAAAAAGGCAGGTCAGTGGCTGACACGGGTGCCCGTGTCACACGACACGACCCGTGACAGTTCAATTGGGTTGGATATTTGGCAAAACAGGCAGGATAGGGGCTGACACGGGTGCCTGTGTCACACGACACGACTCGTGTCAGTTAGAAATGTGTAAGGCAGGCAGGATAGGGGCTGACACGGGTGCCCGTGTCACATGACACGACCCGTGTCAATTTGGATGGAACGAAAAATGTGTAGAGGAGTAAGGATAGATTTTGACACGGGTGCCCATGTCCGGTGACACGGCCCGTGTTAGCCTAGGCATAAGAAATCCTGATTTTTTGACATTTTTGCTATAATTTTAGATCATTAAAGGTGCACTAGACATTTTGTATTACTTGGAGATGGCCTAACCCTATACAAATTTTTTTTCTAGATGAAACATTGAAGTTATTTTCTAAAATAATTGAAACTACAAATCCTTTTCTATAAAAAAAAACCTAAAAAATAATTTCTTTTCACTTGACATTTTCTTGTGCATTTTACTATTTTGCATTATTAATTATGTAATTGTCAAAGTCTTGTAATAGTAATTAGGGTTTATTTTTACTTGTCACCCCCATTTGTAAATTTGTATCCCCTATTCCCTCAAGTATTGTAATAATATAGGACATTTAATTTCCGCAATTTATTGCTTTCCATATTATTGCTAGTAATTAGAGTTTGTATGGAAAAATCTTAAAATCAATATTACACAACCTTAATTCAAGATAAAATATTTGAAAATAAAACACTTTGCACACTTACACCTCTAGGGTAACCCACACTTGTTGCCTCAAATAAAACAGTCATGTCCCTCGAACGTGGGATGCTTTAGCAAAAGACCCTTGATTACAAGATCGTAGTCCCTCGATGACCCTTCAACGTTGCCTTCGATAAACGATCTTAGTCCCTTACGACAAATTGCTAAAGTATCCTACAATGTTTCCTTCTATGAATGTACGATGACCCACGCTTGTCCCTTCATATCCAATGATATGGCTCTCTATCAATCAATGGTAGGCAAGCACTATATAAAAGAGGAGGAAAAGAACAAAGAATTTCTTTTAAGTAGGTAGAACGCTCGTAGTGGCTTGCTCACAAACATTTCAACACAAAACATCTTTCAAACACACCAACACATTCTTGAAATATTTTCAAAGTCAACACTTTGTATACATTCTTATAGAGACGATAATCATTACAAAGTTCGTCTAAATGAAGGCACTTTTCAAAAATAATTTCAAACAGACACAAACACATTTACAAAGCATTTTCAAAAGTGAGCTAGCAACTAAGAGCCCGTAGATAACTACGGATGAAAAGGGTGCTAACACCTTCCCTTTTCATAACCTACCCCCCGAACTCAAGAAAATTCTCAAAAGGTCTTTCCTTTTTTTTCACCCTTTCCTTATTGGATAAAAGAAAAGTCGGTGGAGACTCTTGCTATCCGCAATACTTGCGATAAAACGGAAAAAACCCAAGTCTGCTCTCTCACCGTATCACAGAACTGGCGACTCTGCTGGGGATGTTGAACTAAAAGTGGGGTTACCTTAAGAGCTAGATCACCTTTATTGCTTTATTTGTTTGTCTTGTTTTCTTTAAATTTGAGTGTCATGCTTGGGTTTACTCTTGTAAAGATCCTACACCCGGATCTGGGGCACATTAGGTAAGTAGCAATAGATCGTGGAAATTGTACGGCATATACCGATATGGT